AGGACTTTTTCGTTTTTTTCTAGACATTTCCTTCGAAAATGAAATTTAACCACCGTGTCCTCAGCGGGGTCTATGGAGACTCCTATGTTCGTTGGTGCACCCCGAAACACAACACTTGCAATGGCTCTTTGGCGCTGACATTGTGTCTCCAGCAGCTACAGCAAGAAAACAGTAATGGCGGACTGCAGCTTCTCACTCAGGGCTGTGTCTATGCTAATAGGGCAGAGATCGTCACAAATGGGCAGGACTTTTCTCTAGTATGACGTCAATATAGGGAGAGACTGTTTATGATTTATTGGGATTATAAAAAAATGAGTGGGTGGATTTCTACCATTACAGGCTGGTTGTTTTCACACACTGCGGCCACACAACTGTGTTTAAACACCTTATAAAAGTGATTTTTGCATAATAGGTCACCTTTAACATATTGCTAACATGAATGGAAAAAAAAATCCAGCTAAAACCAAGTAAAACCAGCTGAAAAAAGCATCTAGAAACCAGCTAAAACCAGCTGATTTAGCAAAAAGCCAGCTAAAAAACAGCTAAAACCAGCCTAGGCTAGTAGCTGGTTTAAACTTGGTTGTTCTTTTAGCAGGTCTCCCAGCTTGACCAGCTAAGACCAGCCTGACCAGCTCAAAAGGTGCCAAAACCACTTTAAAACTAGCATGGGAGACCAGCCAAAGCATCCCACCAGCTTAGACTGGTTTTAGCTGTTTTTTTCAGTAGGGAGTTGTTAAGCTTTGCTATAGTAATAGACAGCTTAAATACACCATAGGTCTCACTGTACAGAGGTTTGAACCCTCTCAATGAAAGTCTATGGGATTTCTGGTGGATTGGATAGTCTGGTTTACGAAAACCGGAAGTCGGATCAGTTAGAAAAGTCATAGCAACTAACTTCAGACCAGTCTTAAGGTCTGACCCGAGTTTGGTGGTTGTAGCTTTAACGGTCTAGGAGGAGATGCAGTTCAAGCCGACAAGCCATGCCGCTCTCACACTACACATCATTTCTCACACAGAGCAAAAAACATTGCGGAGCAAAGAGGACACTGACAACACGCCGACAGACAAGTCAGAGCAGGTTACTTCTGGTATGAAACAAGGTCTCAGCATTCAAATTTTGTAAATTTTTAAGAAATTCAAACAATAAATACCGTTTTGAATCTGATTTGTTTGTCGGAGAAAATGGCAGATTCTGCGTTATGATTGGTCAGATCGCCGGTCAATCAAGCTCTTTGCGAACGGTCAATTGGTAGAGATGCCAGACTGATGAGTTGACTTGAGCTCCTCCCAACATTTCTTCCTATCTACTTTAACATCTCAGGTTATGGGTTTTCCACTCCACTGTTGTCTTTGGCTGGTTTGTGTGGAATTTGTAAGGCTTTGTAATGATTTGGCTAAATAAATTTTTTAACTAAACTGAATAAGAGATTTAGCAGCATTTAATTCGATAAAAGCCGATAAGTTATTAGGTAATATGGAGAAAAGCAATGCCAGAGGATGTTACTCTGTCTCCATGTCGTCACATTATCTATCACATTATCACATAATCACATTATCTAAAGCCGAGTGGCCAATCCTACTCCTGGAGAGTCAACGGCCTGTAGAGTTTAGCTCCAACTTGCCCCAAACACACTTAGCTGGAAGTTTCTCGCGATCCTGCAGACCTTGATTAGCTGGTTCAGGTGTGTTTAAATGGGGTTATTTCAATCACATCTCAAATTATATCTTTGTGTTTAATAACATTCTGTGATGAAAACATTTTTGGAATACAATTGCCTATCCTTTTACTTGATATGGCTATTTTTATAGCTCACATTTTTTTGTGTTCTAAATACGGCCTAGAGGTATTCAAAGGCCTCTTCCCAATGCGATGAACAGTGTCAATCTTATCAGGTAGAATTTTGCTTCCCTCTGGAAAAGTGGCAACACAAATACGAATGGATTCAGCTCTGATATCTTCACCTTCTTTCTCCGGCACTCCTTGCAGGCGTAAATTCCAGCGACGCGAGTAACGCTCTAAGTCTGCAATCCTTGTCTCACAGAACTCCATCTTCTTTTCCTCAGAGCTCAATCTAGCTTCAACATGGCCAACCTTCCCCTTAACGTCATTAAGCTCGGCACAGATATAGTCAACAGTTTTCTTTAGACCTTCAATTTTCAGAGCATTATCACCCACCATTTTCTCCAGGGCATCCGATCGGTTATTTATTAGCTGAGAGAGCGTGGAAATCACAGAATCATCCTCTGCCCTGCCTTTCTTTGAAGGCGGCTTACCCGGGCTCTCAAGAAACGGTGTAGATAAAAATGTATCCCCGGGAGAAGCGTAGCTGTGGACATCCACAATAGATACACGAGAAGCACGCGGTGTCTCTCCTCCTTTCCTTTTATCTGCTGCTGATTTCATTTTCAAAGTTTTGAGAGGTAACTTCACAGTAAAATAAATGTAGATTCTAATACGTGTAGCACAATTATATATAGCGTAGTTTAGCTGTTAAAAGCAGATTTGTCAGCGGAGCACTATATAAGCAGACTTAGCAGGACGCCATCTTGGATCCTCCCCGCTTTTAGGCGTTTAGACGCTTCCCAGCAAGCAATAGCCGTCATTTCACCGTCTCGGTTAAGTATAGACCCGATATAGTCCGACTATGTGTAACCCACTTCTAGCCCAAATAACC